TTATTTCATGTTTTGTGTATGACTATCCAAACGTTCCAACAGCAGTTGTTGAAAAAAAATACTGTTCCTCCATTGAACAGTCTTTATACCTTTGTTGAAAATCAATTGACTACGTAAGTGTGGGTCTATTTTTTGACTCATCATTCTATTCTGTTGACTTATTTGTCTAATCTTTTGCCAAAACCACATTGCCTTAAAAAGCATAATTTTACATTAAGTCTTGAAAGACATCATATGTGTCCTCCCAAATCTTTCTTTGTCAGTCTAAGGCCATACCACCCTGAACGCGCCCGATCTCGTCTGATCTCAGAAGCTAAGCAGGGTCGGGCCTGGTTACTACTTGGATGGGAGACCAAATCTTTCTTTGCCAGAATTGTTTTGGCTATTCTCCTTTAACTTTCCATAAAAATTTTGGAATTAGATTACCAATTTTTACAAAATATCTTGCTAATATTTGGTATTGGGTTTCACTGAATCTATAAATCACTTTGTGGGGAATTGACATCTTCACAATATTGTGACTTCCAATCCACAAACAAGGTTTTTAGGCCTTCTTTGGTTTCTTTTATGATTGTTTTGTAGGTTCCTGAGTACAGGTCTGGCACATACCCTGTTAGATTTATAGCTCAGTATTTCCATGTTTTGGGGGAGCTGTTGCAAATGATACTTTTTCAAATTTCAGTTTCTTTTCTTTTTGAATTTATTTATTTTTGAGAGAGAGAGAGAGAGAGAGAGAGAGCGAGCGAGAGCATGAGCAGGGAAGGGGCAGAGAGAGGGAGAGAGAGAGGGAGAGCGCAGGCTCTGCGCTGTTAGCATAGTGCCCAATGCAGGGCTGAGTCTCAGGAACCATAAGATCATGACCTGAGCCGAAATCAAGGGTCAGATGCCTATCCGACTGAACCACCCAGGCGCCCCTCAAATTTCAATTTCTAATTATTTATTATAGAATACATTAGCATAATCAGCTTTTGGATATTGACCTTGTATTCTGTAATCTTGTTAAATTTTCTTACTGTTTCTAGTAACTGTAAATAGGTTCTTCGGGATTTTTCTTTGTAGAGAGCTGTATCTATGAATAGAACAGTTTTATGTTTTATTCTCCAATATGCATACCTTTTCCTTCTTTTTCCTTCCTGATTTCACTGGCATGGATCTCCACAAAGTGCTGGAGCGGGCATCTTTGAGTAACTCCCAATCTCAGGGAGAAAGTGTTCTTTTTCCATAAAGTATGCTGTTAGCTGTAAATTTTTTTAAGATGCCCTTATTAGGTTGAGGAAGACCCCCCTTCTACTTTGCTGAGAGTTTCTGTCACGAATGAATATAGAATTTTGTTAAATGCTTTTTTTGCATCTATCGTGATAATTACATGATTTTTCTTCTCCCGTTTGCTGATATGGTGAATTAGGTTGACTGAATTGGGAACGTTGTGAATCTTGAATTAGCCTTTCACTTTCAGGATAAATCCCACCTGCCCCCAAAATATTATCCTTTTTATTTATCCTTAGGTTTAATTTACTAAAATTTTAGTGAGAATGTTTGTGTCTGTGTTCAGGAGGGACGTTGGGCTGTAGACTTATTTTTGTTCTCATAACACCTTTATCTGGTTCTGATGCCAGTGTCATTCTCACATCAACGATGTAGTTGGGAAGCAATCCCTCCTCTTCATTTTTCTGAAATGTTTGGTAGAATGTTTGATAGAACTCACCAGTGAGGTCATCTGGCCTTGAAGTTCTCTTTGTGACAACGTTTTGAACTACAGATTCGAGTTCTTTAAAAGATATATGAATATTCAGGTTCTCTAGCTCTTCTACTTTGAGCTTTGGTAATTTGTGTTTTTCCAAGAATTCATTCATTTCATCTAGTTTGCTAAATTAAGTGGCATAAAGTTATTCATAATATTCTTTTTTTTATCCTTTTAAAGAAATTCTCTCTGTTGTCCCTAATACTGGAAATTGGCATCCTCTCTATGTTTATCATTGCTGGTTTTGTGAGTTTATCAATTTTATTGATTTTATTTTAAAAAACACATGGAATCTCACTGATTTTTTTTCTGTTGATTTTCTGTCTTCAATTTCACTGATTTCTGTTCTTTATTATTCCTTTCTTCTGTATGCTTTTGGTTTATTTAGATCACTTTTTCTAGTTTTTTTTTTTTTTTTTTGAGAGAGAGAGAGAGAGAGAGAGAGAGAGAGAGAGAGACAGCAAGCGGGAGAGGGTCAGAGGGAGAGGAGGAGAGAGAGAATCTTCAGTAGGCTCCACACCCAGCACAGAGCCCAACATGAGGCTTGATCTCAGGACTGTGAGATCATGACCTTTGCTGAAATGGAGAGTCAGCCGTTTAACTGAGCCACCGAAGCACCCCAACTTTTTCTAGTTTCTTAAGGTATTGGTTTGAGAGTTTTCTCCTTTTCTAATATAGGTGTTCTAGTGATCTAGGCCTTTGAGTACTTCTTTAGCCAAATCTCACTGATTGTGACATGCTGTGTTTTTATTTTCATTTGGTGCAAACTATTTTGAAACTTTCCATTTGATTTTTTTCTTCAACCACAGGCTATTTCTGAGTTACCAGTATATTAAAAGTGGTTGTCTTCTTGCTGGAATTGCGTGTAATGTTTTTCACATATATACATTTATGTTTTTACTTTGTTCTTTCTGGAACTTTGTGCAAGTTTTCCAGGTTTCTACATTAAGTATGCATTGCTTTTCTAAGACGAAAACAATTAATATAAAATGACACTCTACGTTTTGTAGTACTTCTTCATTTACAGAGTTTCATTTACTCCTCCAACCTCCGCTTGAGAAGCAGATAATCTGTGTCCCACAGGTGTGGAAAACAGATTGGCAGGTTTTTCCATTCTAATTTTTTATTTTTTTTAAGACTGATAGTTTCAGTGACTTGCTCAATGCCACACAGGTAGAGTTGGTTTAGAATTCAAACCCGGATTTTCTGACTCTCCCAGCTCATTCTTCCAAAGAAGTTGGAAACAAAGATTTGAAAAGTAAATTGGAATTTATTTTTGGGTGGTTGGAAAAAAAATCATTGAGGGTCTTGAGTGAGTGGCTTGAGACAATGATCTTAGTGTAGCTTTTTTTTTTTTAATGTTTATTCATTTTTGAGAGAGAGCGTGAGCGGGGGATAGACAGAGAGGGGGACTCGAGGACTCCAAGCGGGCTCTGTGCTGACAGCAGTGAGCCCCATGTGGGGCTCGAACTCATGAGTTGTGAGATCGTGACCTGAGCTGAAGTCCGACATTCAACTTAGTGAACCATCCAGGCGCCCCTTTCAGTGTAGTATTAATCTGAATCTCTGATTTCTAGTGAGGTTGAACATCTTTTCCTGTTTATTGCCTGTTCCCATTTCTTCTTCCCCCAAATTGTTATTCATGTCTCAAGTAAATAGATCATCTTTCTACTGGATTGGTTGGTCCTTTACTTATTAATTTAAATGATCAAAAGTTCCCGATACTCATAGTTTATTTGTTGGAAAGATCTTCTCCCAGTTTCTTGCTCATCTGCTTTTTCTTTATTCAATTTGCTCATCAGCGAAATGTGTACTGGAGAGTGAGGGAAACTAATGTGTTTGCTACAAGAAGAGTCTTGGTTTGTTTTGACCTTGTGTGTTGGGAAGCAGGAGATAAACGAGGATGGGATTCGGTGAATCACATGTTTGGAGACTCATTTACCAGTCACTTGTTAACTGATTACATTTATTGGCCCCAGCGTAGTAGGCCACGTGATAGAGAGCAAAGAATAAATGTTGCCTGCTTTTTTGAAAAAAAAATTTTAATGTTTATTTTTGAGAGAGAGAGAGCATGAACAAGGGAGGGGCAGAGAGAGAGGGAGACACAGAATCCGAAGCAGGCTTCAAGCTCTGAGCTGTCAGCACAGAGTCCAACGCTGGACTCCAACTCAGGAGCCACAAGATCGTGACCCAAGCTAAAGTCGGATGCTTAACCGACTGAGCCACCCAGGCGCCCCAAATGTTGCCTGCTTTTGAGGAGCTTTTACTTTGATGGAGAAATAAGACCTGTAAAGTAATACAAGAAACTGTGGCACAAGACAGGCTGTGGCTATGAAAATTTCTTTTCATCAAAGGGGAAGGGGACATTACTTTGGAACAAATGGGGAGTTGTTTACATAAGAAACAGTCTTTGAGTTGAATGAGAGCAAAGACTACAGATATTCTTGCTCACCATTTTATACCCAGCAGTTAGCAGAATGCCTGACCATAAGTGTCCAGGGCGCCTGGGTGGCTCAGTCGGTTAAGCGTCCGACTTTGGCTCAGGTCATGATCTCGTGGTCTGTGAGTTCAAGCCCCACATCAGGTTCTTTGCTGTCAGCAAAGAGTCTGCTTCGGCTTCTCTCTCTGTCTGTCCCCCTCTCTCTCTGCCCCTCCCCCGATTGTGTTCTCTCTCTCTCTCTCAAAATAAATTAATTAATTAATTAAAAAAAGAGTAAGTGTAAAATACTTGGTTAATAATTGAATGATATTAGCATGCATGGGCAAAAGCCATTTATAGGAACTTAACACAGTGCTTTTCATTCATTACTCCTACACCACCACCGGGCAGCTCTGAGAAAGAGAGATCAGCATTTCAGACCTTAGCTTGCATTTCCAAAGCAAGGAGCACAACTTCTTCCAAAAGGACACCCAACATGCTCCCTTATCTTACCATTGGAACAGAGCGGTAATCAGGATCTTGGCTTCACTGAGGCAAACCTGGGTTTGACTCTCATGTCAATTACTTGCTGGTTAGAGGACCCTTGATTTCCCTCATCTATGAAATGAGATTAATGGTAGTGCCTACCTTGTTCGATCATCGTAGGATCAATTAAGCAAAGCATGTAGAACACGGAGCTCCTAGAAGGGCTTCTAGAAATATCCCCTATGCCTCTTCTCTTGAAGTACCCTAAAACAGATGGAAAGTGTGATTGCCGTTGGATTTTATGACTTTGTCTGTGGTTTCTAACTGCCCTATTCTCCATCTCCTTCCTCACAGATTCAGAGACATATTGTGTGTTTCAAGACAAGAAGTACAGAGTGGGTGAGAGATGGCATCCTTACCTGGAACCTTATGGGTTGGTTTACTGTGTGAACTGCATCTGCTCAGAGGTACAATCCTTCCCAGCATATGATTACCCAGTTTGCTCCTCAGACATACGTCCTTTGCCTGAATGGCCGGGAAGCATGGGCGGTAAAAGCCTAAGAAAAGTTAGGAAGCAGCTTCTATGGAAAAACAAACATCTGACTTTTTCATCTTGTTGCCTTTTGGCTTGTTGCCTTTGGGATCCCTGAGTATTTGCTTGGGACACATATTTATAGTCTCTTAGCCAAATGATATGGGACATGGTGGGAGAAGGTAGAAGAGTTTGATTCCTGGGAATGGGGAAGCAAAGCTCAATTAGAATACCTGGATTGTAAGACAAAACCGTTTTTGAAGATCATGTTCAAGGCTGGCCTTTAGAGAAAAGATGAGGACAGGTTATACACTGGTTCCTTGGGAGAGTGTATTTTTTTGTTGTCTCCACCAGAAACTATAATTAGGATCGAGGCTGTGAAACCTTGGCCTGTACCTGCTGATGATTGGAGTTCTTTTGGCGTGGCCTTGGCTCCTGACCAATCATTCGGAGAGGTGTTTGGATACGTTAAATGCCATCTTTGCAATAGACAAAACAGGCAGTATCTTCTTCTTTCCGTGGCCTTGACCCAGGGCCACAGGTGTGGTCCATCTTTCTGGATAAGCTTCTACCATCACATAGTAGGCCAGGGTTTCTCAATCTCTACACTATTGACATTCCGGTACAGATATTTCCTTGTTGTAGGGCCCATCCCGGACTGTGTAGGATGTTTAGCCGTGTCCCTGGCCTCTACCCACTAGACACCAATAGCACCAATCCCAGTTATGACAACCAAAAATGTCTCAAGATATGGCCAGAGTTGCTTGGGGAGCAAAATGACCCCTGGTGGGGACCACTGCACTAGGCCAATTGGGAAAGGAAGCCTTGTACCAGGCCTTGAGAATAGAGAACTCTGAGCAGATGGAAAGAATTTTCAAGACCAGCCTCTCACGTGAGACCTTGTGGAAGGACTGTATCTCCTCCCAAGTGCCCAGGTAGAACAGAAGCAGTCACTTGCAAGCCAGATTCTTTTGCCATTTAAACAGAAATTTGGACCTCTAGAATCTTAAGGATGTGAAAATCTAAACTTGGGGCAGTAGGAGGTAATGTTAAGAGGCTACCGGGCTCCGGGGTCAAGACAGACCATGTTTCCAATCCAGGCTCTGCCACCTGTGAGCCGTGTTATGTTGGACAAGTTACCTAACCTCTCTGCGATCCCTTCAGCTTCTTTTTCTTTAAAATGGGATCATGATACTATGTATTTCATATGGGTGTGGTAAGGATTAAATTCACTAATACATTTCAGTTACAACAGTGCTTGGTCACAGCATTCAAGAGACATCAGCTGCTGTCATCGTCATCGTCATCATCACTATCACTATGACTGTTATTTTTGTTAATCTATTAACTCTAGAACAGAATTCAGTTCAGTGCATTAAGGAAGCATCAGCATAGGCCTCAGCCAGAAGGAGTGGTTTCTGATGTGCTTTGGTGATTTCAGTTCAAGATGATACCACCTGGCTCTGAGGAGTGTGGCACAAAAGGAGGCTCTGTGGTGTTTCCAAATGCAACACTCCAAAAATTTGTTCTAGAAAGTCCATGAGAAAAGAAAAAGGTTTCTGGTAAGGTCATTTGGATTTGGATCAAAGAAGCCTGCCTCTTTAAATGGCCAGGGCAGGTATCAAATAGGGCATCTGGGGACTGATTAACTGCCTGGTATGACAAGATTGTGTCAGATTCTTGACCCAACACATTGGAAATGGACAGCTAACCCTTGGGGGCTGAGCTTTGCTGTCTGCAGGGCAGGGAAAATGTTAATATGATCCCAAAGCCAACAGCTCAAGGGCTGGCATCTTCTCTTTCCACATCCTCTTTGTCACCCTCTTCCCCCACAAGAGCGTGATAGATGCAAGTAACCCTTGCTTGGAATGAATTATGGATGGAAATATGCTAATGCCCAATTGATTTCCAAAGGCCTCCCATGATCTAGCGATGGCTGAGAGCTGTCAGAGCTAGGGATCTTGTCATTGTAAATTGGGCAGGGACCCAGTCACCGCCCTCCCCCTTCCCCCTGCCCCCGCCACCAGGCACACTAGGTAATCCTCTCAATTCCAAAGCCTAGCTTGTTCTCCGAAAACTTAGACTGAAACAGGAAAGGCGGAGAGGAGGCATTCAGCCTGCTGGACCCAGGCAGAGTTACGTGGAATCCAGGACCCATGTGTCAGGGATGTCTCCATGCCCAGGGGTGGGTAGCAGCTAAGGGGGACCCATCACTGGTTATCCCTTCCCTCCGGTGGTATTGAGCAGGTGATCGTGTAATTAGACTAGGCTCTTGTGGATGTGCAGCTGGAGCCAGAAAGGCTAGAAACACCACAAAGCCAGGCCAGGAGGAGCTTTTGTCCACAGTTGGCGGGAGGCTTTGAAAACGAGAGCAGTGGTGACCCCAGCTTCAGAAAGATATGCCAGCCAGCTATCCACCAACCCAGCAGACGTGCTAGTGATGAGAAAAGGGAAGAAAATGCTGATTTCATTCAGCTCCTTGGGAATGCGTCATTCGCTGTCTGGGTGAGTCTCTGCGTGCCTGTTTCCCAGACTGGCATGACCACAGGTGACCTTTGAAAGACATTCATTTTTTTTTCTCGTGGTTGCCTCCTCTCTTTCAGAATGGGAATGTGCTTTGCAGCCGAGTCAGATGTCCAAGCCTTCACTGCGTCTCCCCTGTGCATATTCCACATCTGTGCTGCCCGCGCTGCCCAGGTAAAACCAGATCGCCTCTCTCCTTCCCCGATGTGGTTCTCCTTCCTCCTTCTTCCACCCAACCCACTCCATCTGCCTAATTCCCCAGAAGGGAAACTTCCAGACAGAAATAACAATAGGACGCTTTTAGGCAGGCCATGCTGGCCCCTAAATGCTGTTTATAGCCCAAGCGGGGCCCATTCTAAGCTCTAATAAGTTATTGGGTACCCAGTAACAGATTTTCATTGGGCTTTTAATCATTTGAAGGTGGATGTCAGTTGGGGGAAGGGAATTGTGGCCCAGAGAGTTCATGCCATAAACAGCCTCTTCCTGCCATGGGCAGCAGGCACCAGGGGAATTGTAGCATGGCGGCACGTGTCTCAAGCAATTAGTGCTGGGATTGCATAAATCAAAGGAGCTGAACCAGTGAGGTTTATGACAGTATAAAGCTGCCTGCCTGCTGAATAGTCACCTCCTCCAGACTGCACAGTTATTATGTACACATTGTTAAGAGCAAATCTAAGGGGGAGGCGGGCAGAGACTTTCACAAGGCCGTTAGAACCGTCTACTTTGATGGTTTGCGGCTAGGGTGTTTGTCTGAGGCAGCGGCTCCCTCAATGACACTTTGTTCACGTCTGACTGGGGCCTGGCTCCCACACCAGAGGCATGCAGGCGTGGAATGATTAAGAGAATGCTGTGGGCCGGACAGCAGGCCTAGGAAAAGCTAAGTGATGGCCTTGGGATCTGGGCAGTAGAAGCCTTGTGGTCCTGTAAATTGATCTTTTTTTCCTCTAGGATGGAGGTTCTCGAGGTGGAGTCCGTGGGTGGGCTTTATGGGGTCAGTGAACCCTCTAAAACGGTTTCATTTTTGGTGTAACTATGTGTACATGTAAATTCCTTTAGAGACCATCCATAATCTTACTGGTATTTGTAAAGGGGGTGTACGTGACCCGACGAACACGAAGGACCACTAGTCTAGGGCGTAGGTGGTGCTTTTTTAAAGTAGTAAAGAATCTCCAGAACTTAAAAGAGAGGAACCCAAAGTGTCAGGGCAGCAATGGTAGGAATGGGGCTAGGAATAAGGTTCAATGAAAATGCAGTTAACATTTCAGTTATAAGGATGGAGGTGTTTAATGGAGAAGAAGCCCCCAAACCCTCTCGGTCACCCCCTTTGTGAACTACACTTTCCTGGATCAGAAAATACACGCTGATGAACACAGGGACTTCTTTCCCCCGTGGCAAAAGATCATGCCATGTCATACACTTATCATTCTGAGTATTGACGATGACAGTATGTGCTTCAGGATGTAAGAGACTGACCTGGCGGAAGATCTACCTGCAAGTTGGTTTTTGTAATAAATCCCTAAATGAGGCTTACAGGTTTGATATTTCTTTCTTTGCTGCTTCTACTGAAACTGGATTACAAAGGAGAGGTTTGGTAGGTGGGAGAAAAAAAAAAGTGGTCTCATACCATAGGAATGTATCGAAGCTATGTAGACATTGTTCTTCCCTGGGAGGGAGGTTGAGGCATGACCCAGATACAAAACACAGGGCCGAAGACGGTAGAGTGCAATATGGCTATCACCTACCCCAGCTGCAGAATAGGAAGCAAGTATTGCGAAAAAGCAAAGTAGAAGCCAGCAGTTCCTTTGGGAGAAAAGACAAGTTTTAAAGGAATCGAGGCCATCAATACCAGAAAAGAGAAATTTGTCTTTAAGGCTTATTTAACAGTTCTTTCTGTGGGAGGTAGTGCGAAAGTTCCCCAATCCTTATATGCAAAAATGTCTTTATTTTGCCCTCATCCTTGAATGATAATTTGGCTGGCTAAAAAATTTTCCTCAACGCTTTGAAGATACTAATAAATGGTCTGTTGACTTCCTTCCTTTGGGGATAACAAGTATGGTGTTGGACTGTAGTTCTTTTCTAGACAACCTGTTTTCTCCTTCTTCCAGCTTTTAAGATTTCCTCTTTTTCTTTGAGGCACATGACGAACGGTGTAGATGCGTGATTTATTTTTCTTTAGCCTGCTCAGTCCATCACTTTTTCAGCCAAAAGACGCAAGTTTCTCTTCAATTTTTACTCATGGTTTTTCTGAACGTTACATCTTACCCTTCTTTTTTCCTCGTTCTCAAAGTTGCCTTTGACATATGTTTTTGCAGCTCATTTAATTTATCCTCTATCTCTTCATGCTTCTTTTCTTTTTTCTGTCTTGGCATACTCCCCGTAATGATATATTACTTCGGTTCTGTCCTCCAATTCGTGAATTCTTTCTCAGGCCTTTTCATGCCTACTATTCAGGCCATCTGTTGGGTTCTGTTTGTTCTTTTATTTTCAATAACTGTATTTCCCCCTAAGTTTTTGAACTACATTTTAAAATCTCTACATACTGCTGTTTTATAAACCCTTGTTATTATTTCTTGGGACCTTATTCTTTATTTCTTTAATGCATTTAAATGTTTATTTAGGGTCCATTTTAGATAGGTTAAATGTTTGTATTTTTTCCTGGTGAGAATTCTCAGTTGTACTGGGTTTCTTGACGGCTTTTCTTAGATCTGAATTTCCCCTTGTTTTCTAAAATGTTTGTTTGCTTGTTTGTTTGGATAAGGCCTTCCTTCCTGATGGAAAGATTGTTCCAGGCCACACAGTTCACTTAGCTCTGAACCAGGTGTTTACATTAGTGTTTACACTAGTGTTTACATTAGTGTTTCAGCTTGGGCTCCCTTATGCCTGGATGGTCTATTTCGACCTCTGTTTTCTTGTGCAGTGCTAGTCCCTGATAATGATCTTGTACTGTGACCTCAGCTACAGCTGCCTACCTTGGGAGAGCCGCCTCAGGTGGGCAGAGCTATGTCCATCCCTGTTTACATGTGAGGAGTGGGGCCCTAGTCTCCACCTTTACATGAGAAGCCACTTGGAGGCCATAGTTCTTGCCCGGCTGTCTGGTCCCAACTGTCTGTATCCAGTCTCAGCTGCCATATGGACCATACGGCTTTGGCCCCCTCCCTTTATTGCTGTACTTTTGTTCTATGTTTTATTCCACAAGGAGTCTTGTTTTTGTTTCTGGGCATGATTTTGCAGTTTCAGAGTTTTTATTTATTGGGGCACCTGGGTGGCTCAGTCAGTTAAGCATCCAACTTCGGCTTGGGTCATGATCTCAAGGTTCGTGGGTTCTCAAGGTTCAAGATCAAGGTTCATGATCTCAAGGTTCTCTGTGCTGACAGCTCAGAGCCTGGAGCCTGCTTCGGATTCTGTGTCTCCCTCTCCCTCTCTCTCTCTGCCCCTCTCCTGCTCGCGCCCTGTCTCCCTCTCTCTCTCAAAAATAAATATTTAAAAACCTTTTTTAACTTTTTATTTATTTATTTGTTTACTTACTCCCTCATTTATTTGCTCATTTTTCTTTGTTGTTAGTTTTACATTTCATCCCTCACTCTTTGGTGGGAAAAGGGCAGGGAGTTCTCTCCTGTGCTCTCTGGGCCATATAGAACAGGAATGCGGACCACCTCTTCTTGCTATTGAAGATCAAACAAGAGTGAACAGGTTTAATTAAACCATAACAGAGAAGAATGGAGTTTGATAAAGGGATGAACTTTGGGACACGGTGGCTGTTGAATCCCAGAATAAATGACTAAGGAGAATTTCCGTCTCTTTACAGCATATTTCTGTAAGTAAAAAGGTACCCACCCATCTGAGATAAAGTTGTCACTGTTCTGCTTTGAGACGGGGCACTGGCTGTGATGACTCCTCTGTATTCCTTCCGCCCCAGTGATTATTAGGCATGAGGAAACTCCTGCCTTCAGGGCCACAGGAATGTTTGGTCAAAGGAGGGGGCTCTAATTTTCTGTCTTAACCCAATGGAAGGCACTGTGATGAAAATGTTTTCATTGCAAAGTAGAAGATTTATAGGCCAGGATGATGAACAAGTTCTGTATCAAAACGAGAAAACAAATGAGGAAACTATATACCCAAGGTTTGGCCTTGCATACCATTCTGTAGCCCTATTGACTAGGGACGTTCATATGGTTGGAGATGGATTCAGTGGGAGGGTCCTGCTAGATACGCCTGGAGCTCATCTTCCATTGGAGGAGACACAAGAGCCTTCGCCCCCCATTTGGTTCTCTGTTCACCCTGGTTCTTGCTCTCCAAACTCCCTACCCCGGAAATTTCCGAGGTTCCCACCTGTATTTGGGGTTGTCTCCTGCAGTTCCTGTTGAACTGTGGCAATCAAAGTATGCACACTGCTTTTCCAGAATTACCTGAGAGAAATCTATATTGATTCCCATGAAGAGAAAACGAAAATTTTTTTTCATCAGGGCTTCCCCAAGTATCTGGGGCAGAGAGGTCAGGTCTTGGTCACATATGACAGCGTGCTCTACTGTGCCTGAAGAGGCAGGTGCTGCATGGAAGTTAGAACATTTCTTTCTTTCTTTTTTTTTTTTAGACTTATTTATTTTGAGAGAGAGAGTGAGCAGGGGAGGGGCAGAGAGAAAGAGAGAAGGAGAGAGAGAATCCCAAGCAGGCTCCACAGTGTCAGCGCAGAGCCCGACTCAGGGCTCAGTCTCATGAACCACGAGATCATGACCTGAGCCGAAATCAAGAGTCAGACGCTTAACGCACAGAGCCACCCAGGTGCCTCAAATTTAGAACATTCTTTTTTTTTTTATTTATATATGAAATTTATTGTCAAATTGGTTTCCATACAACACCCAGTGCTCATCCCAAAAGGTGCCCTCCTCAATACCCATCACCCACCCTCTCCTCCCTCCCACCCCCCATCAACCCTTAGTTTGTTCTCAGTTCTCAACAGTCTCTTATGCTTTGGATCTCTCCCACTCTAACCTCTTTTTTTTTTTTCCTTCCCCTCCCCCATGGGTTCCTGTTAAGTTTCTCAGGATCCACATAAGAGTGAAACCATATGGTATCTGTCTTTCTCTGTATGGCTTATTTCACTTAGCATCACACTTTCCAGTTCCATCCACGTTGCTACAAAAGGCCATATTTCATTTTTTCTCATTGCCACGTAG